TAATATAGGGAATATAATGAGCAGATTTCATCTTAGATTTTATAAAAATAATATTATGAATCGGGACGACGACTTGCCCTCCTGTAAATTGAATCCAAAACTGCGACGGTTGCTGCGAAAATGGGATATCCAAGTGATATCAAAAGCAAAGACAACACTCTTCACCAGTCTGCCGACACAACACGAGAAGGTTGAGGAACTGGATTGCTCAGAAGTTTATCGCATCCAACAGGGCAACTGTGAGCAGAAGTATATCGGTGAAAGAGGAAGAAAGATCCGCTTAAATATCAGGAAACACCAAAGACTCTGCCGACACATGGATAAGGACAGATCCGAAATAGTGGAACATATTGTACGGACGGGACACGAAATCACTGAAAGGCTGGCTACGTATGGTTAAAGCACAAGAAAACGCAAGATACGAGAAGCCATCGATATTCTGACTGAAAGAAATCTAATGAAAAAGAGACAGGATTAGTGGACAACTTGCATATTGTCTAAGCAAACTCGGAGCAGATCAGGGACCAGCAATATCACCAAAAAAAGACGACTAGATCAAGGGAATATTTTCAATTTGAGGGAAAGAAATCGCAACGAGACCAGAGAAGAACACGCGGAAACCAATACGAAACGTCTACATGGGCCTATTCAAGGTAAGTTGAACAACTAAAACATTTGGGATTTGGCACACAAGACACTACGGCAAAGAGAAGTCAGCGACTTGACATTAGAGATAGAGAGGCGATAGATGTTGGAAATTAGTAGATGAGTTTGATGATAGACGTGGTCTGTGAAGTAAGGGCTTGACCACGAGATTTACTCGGTTAACATTCCGAACAGTGAAAAGGCAGGCTGCAGAGTCAGTTTAGTTTTCCATCCAACTTGAGAATCCAGACTTTGGCGGCCTGCTCAGTGAGGCTACATGATACGCCCTACCAATGGTTTGAGTCAGAGTGTAGAACACAACGTCTCGAGTAGCATGGATACGGTGGCAGAGACCGATGGAGGCTCTGAAAGGACTTGGAGGATGAGGATTGCGGACTAAACTGCAGTTTGGAGCAACAGTCCCGGCACAGGGGGGGTAGGAGGGGACCGGTGGTGTGTATTACTGGGTCCCACTAAATCCGGTCAGAAGGACACACCAGAATCGTGTTTAAGTAAGAAAGTAAGAAATTGTGTTACTAAAATGATGTTACGAGGATATGGAAGAGAGCTATCACAACTTATCAGCAGACAGTTGGACAAATGATCGACTTTTCTTGTATATTTGACCACACGTATTGTGGTGCTAAGGCTGGTGAAGCCCAGTGACTATGCCGACAACAATGCCGGCGAAACGTCTGGGAACGTACCAAGTCCACGGTCCGACTCTGGAAATTATCTGACGATGTGTGTTCTCTAGGTCTTCTTGAAAATGACCAAGTTGAGAAAATAAGGTCAAACAACTTCTATTGTATTCAAGACCCTTTAATGGCATTGGACCGGATGTATCCCAGACATCGCCAGTGAGTAGGCCTTGCGTTATAACACCTCAAATTGACAAGTGGAGGAGATTTCCTGCCTAACTATTTTCTAATCTCTTCTCTCCTGTTTCAACTTCTGCCGCTATATCCCAATATGGCTACTTTTCCTATCTATCCTTTTCTAAATAAGTTAGCTTCAATATCTTCTAAATGTGTCTCTATAAGTTGGTTTAATGAAGCAAAATCTTCTTTATTTTCGATTTTGCATCACATCGGCAGGGCTTCCTGAGACAAAATGTTCAAATATGTACTGTATATTTTCAAGGTCTTTCTCATTGAGCTTTATTCTAGGCTTGGCATACTGCCTATTCCCCGACTGCGTATCCTATTCCTCTGAACCCTGAATTGTTCCTATATAATTTTATCTTTCTTGATTGTTCTTATTCCCTCGAAGGCTAAATTGACCCTTAAGTTGGATCTACGATTTGATCTGATAGGTCATTTGTTAGCTGAAGTCTACTCCATATCTGAGCTTAAGTAATGTCGCCGATTGTAGTGACAAACACAAGTTTGCCGCATCGACACTCCGTCTATAACTTTGATATAGAAGAGGCACAACTAGTCATGGCAATCACGTTTGCCCTGTTATCCACTGCATCACAGGCAAAATAGTTTTTTCTCCATATTTTTTAAAACAAGCCTTCCTCTTTCGAAAAGCCTTTATTGAATTCCATATAAGTCAGCAAAATTATTTACGAATTTCGCACCGAGATAAACTCATATTAATACATAAATACGCTTTTCCAACTTCAACGAGTGGCGGGCACGAATTTAACTCCTCAGATCCTGTCAACTTAGATTTGTACTAGAGGAAATTATTGCTAAATCAAATCACTATTGTTACTGAAACTTTGTAAGTAGTATAGAATATTGAAAGTTATTTTCAGAGCCTTGGTAGTCTACTTTGATGGACCTCCCCTTTAATTATATTAGAAATTAATATATTGTCAAAGAAACAAAGAGCTCATTGCCATAACCTATACAAAGCACTAAGATAAGGCAGTCCACACATCCTATGGAGATAAGAAAAAGCGTACACATTGTACCCGGAACCTGACTCAATTCAATCTACCATATTTTCCAATTATTTTTTCCTAGATTACCTGTTCCTGCTTTGAGGGGAGTGTTGTAGCGACATTCGCCCATAATCGACTAGCCTCGAGCTAACACATCACAACTTACATAAAACACTTTTTTATTTCGTTTAAAGGCCGCTTTCATTATGACTTATTCACTATCCAGTAGCCAAACAGGAGGTGATACGCACATCAGTCAAATAAAAAAAATAAGCGATAACGCTGAAATGAAAAGACTAGGGACGACACTCGATTCAGCTTGAAAAGGATTCTGCTCACTTACGTTTCCATCTTTACGCGCTGCTCTTAGATGCAGAACTTATGCGAAGCCTTTACGTTCCATTCTCATTTGTATAGCATCATTTCTATATAATTTTTTGTGATCAGGTTAGCTATCTGCAAAAATATAGTTTAATGGTATTCTGTTGACCATATATTAGGATATATGTTTATTGGAATAAGGGGAATTCATTATCATAAGTGAGCAGGTTTTCGAGACTCTCAGTAACTCAGCATTCACCCTATTTCGTTTAAGGTGGTGAAGGAGTGGTAGTTGTTTTTCCCCACATTGATATGGGTAGAGCTGACGTTGCCATCAAATTTTACATTGCCATGTTTTCCTAAAAGGTGTTCTTATCCAGGCTAAAGTTAAGTTAAGTTTCGACCCCACATAGGTCTTATCAACATCCCAAGCGAGAGTCAAACCATGACAGTAAAGCGTGTAAGCTCGATACGTTAATCGCTCATATATCTGATTTTTTACCATTGTTAGGGGAAAAGAGTTCGCTGGTCGATCTCACCCGGTGAGTACGGATACATCTCGTTGTACTGCAGCCGTTTGGCTTTTATACGATATTCATGTTGACGTAGTCCACGAGACTTCCTCCCTCGTTTCGGGTGAAAACGGGCTGAGCTTTCATCCATCATATGATGGACATCATCAGAGCTGGGTTTCATTCTTGTAAGAGTCTCTCGTTAGCACTAGGCCAAGAACACTATCTGGTTCTATCTTACTTCTTATAGGGACTCAATTGAGCCAAATTAAAATTAAAAACCTGGATAGATAGATATAGAGTGGTTTGGTTGATTATATTTCATACTGGTCCTATTACTTTTGCTCGAGTGTGTATGTGTGTGCATGTACGCTTGTTAGCGTCTATATGCAATACCGGTCCTAAATCAGGGTTGTTTAAGGTTTAATCTCAGGTTCTGATCCTCAAGACCTAATGACCCAAGAGAAAGCCTTAGCTGAGACTGCGTGAGCCTGTAAACAAGTATTGTTATGATAATGAGATATGAGTCCGTAAGCATGAAAATCAAGTCACGAAACCACTTGTCCTAATCTTTCATCGAAACCCAGTTTCTCATCGTATCTACAATGATTTACTATCAATCTAAAAGGCCTACTTATTTACGAAAAAGTAATATCGTCGATTTATATAGCAAATATAAGTTTGCTTCATCGATAATCCCCAAACAGAATGTGATATGGAAAATGCCTGACATTACTTAGAATTCACATCTGCCCTGTGACTCAAAGGCACTCGTGGCAATGCGGCGTAGGGGCTAACGTGTCAGGCTTACACGCTTCACTGTCATGATTTGAGTTCTGCTGGAGGTGTCGATATGCGAGGTCGAAACTGCAGACCATTCCTGCCTGGATGAGAACACTTTTTGTGAAAACAAAACTATGTGAAATTAAATGGAAACGTCAGCTCTACTCATACCAATGTGGGTAAAATTTGCTACCAGTCCTTCGTCATCTTAAACGAAATAGGGTGAATACTACTCTATCTTTTATGCCTCACAAAGCATTATAATGATCCATAATAAAAAATGTTGAGCTAAATTTGGTAGTCCTATGTTTCAAAAATGTCCGCGCAAATTGTATTTATAAATAATTGCCCTTCTTAACATCTTTCATTAATGTGTAGAATCTTATCCCGAGTCTGAAGTGTAATAGGCGTTCGATTACCAATGCACTTACAACTACCGATTAGGAAATCATCAATTAATATCAGGTCCAACACAAGTTGATACAACTATATAAATAGAGATAACCTTATTTAAATTATATTCTGCTTACATTAAAGTAATTTGAAATAAGCAGGCAAGCTTTGAATACTTCTAAGCAAATGAATACTGGAAAGTCTAGTACATTTAATTGAAAATGCACTTATGAATTACACTGAATAAGATAATTCATATAGGAGTGAACACACAGACTTATATACCCACAAGAACTAATATATTTTTTGTTTAGCCCTATTCATAAGCATAAAAAACGGATTATGAGCATTTGACATCGGTTATGCCATACGTATTCCAATGCTCCCTTTCAGTCACTCTCCCTCACATTTATAAAAATCCAATGGCGTATTTAAAGTGGTCTGGGTAGAGCCGTTTAATCGACCAATGGATCACCTCAGGTTAACCTCCTACTTTGTAAGTCGTCACCGCTTTCTCTGTTCTTATTATTAGACTGGCGCTGAGGATTTTGGAACACATATTATTTGATCTATCATTACACTTTTAGAGCCTTCACTAATTATAAATTGCAATATAAAGTGTGAGTGGAGCATCTTACTTATGAAGCTTTTATTAACAGTTCACCACCTGAAATCTAATATTCATATTGTGTGCATTTCCTCTCAATTTGCATATTCAGAAGCACAAAATGGATCCCAAATTAGTTGTCAATAAGTAAAAAGGATTTTGCGAAAGGAGCACTTACGGGTTGCTGCATTCAATGCTTTCAGTCCATATGTGGCTTCTTTCATGTCCCTCACATAACGTTGCTT